ATAAATCAAAAAATCAGCCGGGCATGGTAGCACATGCCTGTAATTCCGGCTACTTGGAAGGCTGAGGTGGAAGGATCGCCAGAGCCCAGAAGTTCGAGGCTGCGGTGGCTGGGAGCGGCCACTGCACTCCAGTCTGGGCGACAGAGTGAGACTCCAACTCAAAAAATAAATTAATTAATTAATTAAATAAAGAAGCACAAGAAGGTGGAGCTCTCAAGACTTGCTGCTGCACAAATGGAGAAGATGAGGAGAGAGAAGACTAAAAGATGACTCCTAGGTTTTGAACTTGAATAGATTGGGATCATGGTGTCATTTAAAATGAGAAAGACTGAGAGAAGAGAAGTTAGACTAGGGAACTAAGAGTTCTGATTTAGCAGTGTCAAATGTGAGGTGCTATTGAAATCAGGACCAAAGCAGAGACATCAGGTAGGCAGCTGGCCACATGATCATCCAACGCGGAAGACTGGAGCCAGAAAGTAGAAAGCAGTGAATTTAAAGACATGATACTACTTAAAGACTTGTACTGGAAGTTGTCACTTGGGTAGAGAGTACAGGAAGAAAAGAGAGATCTGAACCCCGTCGTGGGGACTCCCAAAGTTCTAAAGGTCAGACTCCTCAAATACCACAAGGTGGTTTCATAATCCCCAACAACTTATCCAAGACCACACTGCTGGAGTTGAAAGCCTTGTCTGGATGAAGAAAGGAAATAGACTTGTTTAGCTAACAAGGCTTATGAAATAATTTATGCATGTTTCTAACAAATCATGATTATTTATGAGAACTCAATTTGTTAGGTGTATACAAAATGTAGTGGTTTTAAGTACGGAAAACCAAATGAGGTTTAAATTGAAAAATATTTGAGTGATCATCATATATTTACACTTATTGACTCATACTTGAGAATGTAGCAAAAATGTAAGCAAAACATTTGCTTTTCATGCACTTCAAACGATCTCAACCAATTTTCTATTAGAATAGGGGTTTTAATGTTTATTTTTAATGTAAGTGGCTCAAATAAATGTTTGCAGACTCTTATCAAGGCTTGCAAATTAGGTTCCACCAGCCCAGTACTAAGATGCTTTTTACCAAATTGAGGGATTTTTTTCTTTAATTGAAAAACATTGATAATGTGATGACTATTCAAAATAAGATATCTGCATTTTTTTCAGGCAGCCAATGTTAGGTGTCTCTGAATTAAAGGGACAGGGTTGGCTGCAAACATAGGCAGAATGTTTCTATTTCCTGCTTGAATGAGAACTAATTTTGTATATAAAGAAAAATTTGCAATCGCTATTTATGATAAAACTTACTTTCACATTTTCTACTCACTGAAAACAATTTACACTTAAACTGGAAAATATGCTTTTCCTTCTTGAACAAATGCAATCCTTAAGAAATTTGTCTTTTGAAAAAAATTAAGAGTGGAATTTGATTTTCAACCCAAAGGTGACAGTTATCAAAATAACTCTGCTTTATCATATGGTGTAAAGATTACAAGTTGAGTATTCTCAGTGAGATGATTATTCTAAAACCCAGTAGCAAATCTTCAAGTGTTTAAAAAAAAAAAAAAGTATTAACATTCTAACATGTGAATTTAAGGACTTTGGTCCAAGTTCTGATTTACTATGTTTTGTAACAATCAAATTCAAAAACTATCCTTACCTCAAAAAAGGAATTTTCTCAACTCCAAAAGAAAAAAAAATTATTAGAAAATGATATATGTCTATGGACTAGAATGTAATCTGTTCTTAAAGCAAAAGGAATATATTTAGTTCTATTATCCCAGAAGTAATAATTCTTTAAACAGTAGAAATCTTAAGCAATTTCCATTTCTTCTTAAGCAACTTTTGTTTTATTTTTATTTACATTATTACCACTCAAAAATAAAAGGTTTCCATTTTTTCCCCTTCTTGACATCTATTCCCTCTAAATTTACCAATACAAATTACAGTTCTTTTTTCTTGTTTCAAAAACAGGTGAACATATCATACCTCATTGTCATTCATTTTAATAATAAGAAGAATTACTAAAATTTACCATTAAAAGATTTGATAGCCTGAATAAGGTAACTTTATTACCAGATATATGGCATAATGCATAAAAATTTTCCATACATAAAACAATATTTTAAGAAAGGTCATTAATAAGATAAAGACAAGGTTATATAAACATTTACCATTTAAAAGGATTTAAAAATAAATTCAAAATATATGATGTTGTAGTTACATGTTTGCAAGATCTATAATTATGTATGCAAATTATATATAAATGTGTACTCATATGTATATATGTATGTACTCACCTAGATAAAAAGGATCTCTTGGACCAAATGATAGGTATAGCAATTATCCAAGGGGTATTTATGCTTCCTATAGTAAAATTAATAACCCATAAAGTTGTCAGATACAGCCTAGCCCTGACTTGTGACTGACATTGTTAAACAATCTCACTAATCATTTCTGATTATCTTTTTAGCAAACAGTCTTAAAGACGCAGTCCCAGCAGCCACAGCCAATACTGGAAAGTGTAATGAAATCCATTGTCATCCCTAGCTAAAGCAAAAACAGAAATCATTAACACGAGGATTTCAAGCTCTACTGTAATATTTGTTTAATGGGAGAGGGCTCAGGGCAGTGAGATTTCTGCATACCTTTGATCACTCCAGTAGACAGGCACTCATTCTGCCCCAGACTGAGGGTCACTTTGCCCTGAAGCCATAGCAACTTGAGGGGACTGACATACCTGAACTTCAAACAGAGCCCAGGTCCATCATTTTTTTGTCAAAGAGTCTATTTGAATGACTTTACCATGATAGTAACTGCTAGAGTTAAGTTTGATAAATTGTATTAGGAAATAAAATCTTCTTTTATAGAGCTTATCCAAAACTCTACCTAGAGAAGCATCAGAACTTTTGCCATCTGAGAAAGACCCTCAAATAAAAAAAAAAAAAATTCTATTTTAGAGGACATTTTCAGAATGCGCTTTCTAAATTTATGTAGCACATATCTCAGTAGCAAGTATCTTCTGAAAATACTAATTTAGTTTACTAAACTAAGTTATTATTTAATATTGTGACTAGACATTGAAGATTCATATTTTCTTTTAGTAAATTGAATTCTTAGCTGCAAAATAATTCATGTGAATGTTTATATATTATGTTCAACATTTGTTTTATATAAAATATATTCCTCAATGATTCATAAAATGGCTTATTGAAACAATAACTACTTTCTCTTATACATTTGTCTTAATGACTTATCAACTATTTATATAACTGATTATAACACCAATCAGTCTCCTCTTTTAATAATCATGTGAGATTAGAAGAGTGTAATTTCCTAACATTTCAAGAATAAGCCACAACAATTTGCACAAAGTTGTAGACTTTTATTATATTTTGAAACCAAAAAAATGAATATTTGACTTCTAAGATTTTCAAAAGTACTACAAGAAAATAAAAACATAATTTCTGATTTTTAAGAAAGTATGATGTTAAAAAAATTATCAAGCTTCCTATTGTGCACAATTCCTGAGATCTGCTGTCTAACGGCTTCATATACCTTCCTGACTTAGGATGGTGAAACAAGTCATTTGGAATTGCAAGTAAAAGTTTCAAAACTGATTCTACAGACTACCAGTATTTGAAAATGTACTTTGTACATTTAAAGACATTGTATATATCTTAATTATTATTTCCACTATTCTAATAGCATTTATATAATGTGTGCTGGGAAAAGCTCAGGCTTCAAAAGTCATAATTTCACAACATGTTACAATGCTCAGAACCAAAAATCAGCTGGAAAAAAAATCTCAATGTTTCAATCAACAAAAATATATTTCAGATGAAAAATCATCTTGATGCTTCAAGTAAATTAATGTCCTTCAGAGACTCTTATTTTAGCCTCCATTGTCTAAAATGGCTGCCTTCACTTTTGGCTTTCCTTCCTGCCAGAAAGGACCTCTCCTAAATTTTATGTGAAAATTCTGATAAATTCTGCTTCTTACTAGCATATTGTAAGCAATAAATTTGAAGGTTACTGGAACAGAAATTAAATCTGCATGCAAGTATCAGAGGTATTCTACTTAAAAACTTCATATTCAACATAATTGAAATGATAATGGAAAACATTCATTATGGTAGAAACTCAAAAGTTTAAAAACAATTTAAGTCACTTTTTTAAAAGGTAAGGTTTCAAGACCTTCTCTAAGTAGGGTCTGCTGATTAGAATTTAACATTGTCATTTTACATGAAACACAATTTATCAGGTAGTCTACTAATCTAATTTTGGTTTCCTAGGTGTTAAAATTGACCTGCACACTATGAGTATTGTGTCTACTCGCACACAGTCTACTGCCCAAGACATTTCCAGATGGCAGAAAAGATATTTTATAAAGCAATGTTGAAAAATAGTTAACAGTTCCTACTTTATCCTCAGGAGGGGCCAGTGGGGAGCAATGATTGTTTTCATCATGTTTCTTTAAAGAGTTACTGAAATAACACATTCAATCACATTTTATTTGCATCGAACGAAAACAAGATTATTCATCTTTCCAATAAAGAAGATAAACATCAAAGATCGTTTCTTTAAGTATACCTTTATTTTATATGCTTATTTCCTATAATTATAATCTACCATAATCATAATAATTAGTTTTTAAAAATAACAAGTTAGCAGAACAAAGGCATGGAATAAAATTAGAAAGCCATGACCAAAGACTAGATGAAGAAAAGTAGAAAATAAGAATTTTAAATGAAGACAAATGAAAAATGCCAAACAACTAAGTCTGTTAGTTATACTCATTAAACACAGGGGAAGTTTAGGGTTGTGAAAATTCTATAAAACCCAGAGTTTCCAAATACCAAGAAATAAATCAAGACATTTACTGTCTCCAAATGCCTTGAGGCTAGTAAGCAACAAATAATAATTAAATATAAAGTGAAATGTATTCTTTCTTAAGTAAGCCGTCGGGTCTAAAATCCATTGACTCTATGTTCTTACCGTTTTGTGATCATTAACAATCATAAGTTCCAAATATTTCATTTCTTCAAATACACCACGAGATGGCTACGGAAAATCAAAATATATGGTCAGAACAGTGACTGATTAAAAAATGTCTCTAATGCTCACTGTGAAGCTGTAGGCTGACTTTGAGTTCCAGAACAACTCTTTGCTGCCCACTTTATGAACACCTTAGAAGAAACATGGCCAGGGAAATCAAAAAAAGTTATCATAATGTATGAGTTAAAATTCAAGTATTTAGAAAAGAACTATATTTATTATCAAAGTACTCATTAAGGTAGGAAACAGCCCATGTTGTTTATATATGATTTTTACATGAAAAAATTCTTTTAAAAAATCTACAGCATAATACCATTAAAACAAATAAATCTCAATTTCTTTCTCATTAAAATGTGATTTTAAAATACATATTTACTTAAAGCTTCAAAGAAAATTTATTTAAAACTCATTTAATAAGAATAGCATAAAATGGCTGGGCTCAGTAGCTCAGCCTGTAATCCCAGTACTTTGGGAGGCCGAGACAAGTGGATTGCTTGAGCCTTTGGCTTCGAGACAGGCCCAGGCAACTTGGTAAGATCTCATCTCTACAATCAAAAATTAAATCAAAAATTAGCTGGGCATGATAGCACGCAGCTGTAGTTCTGGCTACTTGGAAGGCTGAAGCAGAAGAATCGCTGGAGCCCAGCAGATCAACACTGGGGTGGCCATGAATGTGCCACTGCACTCCAGCCTGGGTGATAGAGTGAGACTCAAATTCAACAAGAACAAAAAAAAAATGAATAGCATAAATTATCATTACTTCCAGGTATATCTGAAATATAGTCAAATAGAAACATTAACTCACTAGAGTGAAATTCTAAAAATAATGTATCAATTTTTAGCCACACAACCTCTCAAAGGAATAAATGTTGCCAATTATTATATTCAAATTTCATTATTACTAGATCACCCCTTAAGGTAAATATTTTAGCCCTCATTTGAGCTGTCATTTCAAAGTTGGAAAATTAATAATGATGACCCTTTTTCTTTATGTATATAGACATTGGACAGTGTATATCTAATGGGGTGGACTGTAGTGAAAGAACTGCAGCTCATATAAAATGTCTTACCAAGTACATTTTCAAGATAGGCAGAAAGAGACCTCTAAGTATCCCCCCAAAATGTACCCACAATCATCATGGTAAAAGGCTCATAAAAGAGGATGATTTAACCTGGAACTAAATTTTTGATGGCTGGTGGCCTAATTTTTTCACACACACAAAAACACATTCAGCAAAACATTATCTAAAATGTGCAATTTCTACTAGAATTATTCATTAAGTTATTTAGTAAATCACCATGTAACCTATAAGTTGTGGAATTAATTCTCAGCCACATTGCATTCACCATGTAATTACTAAACAGTCTCCATCATTATAGCCTTCTAGCCTATTATGATAAAGACTGGAAATATAATTTCAGTTACAAAGCTCCTGTATATTTATTAATTCATGTGAGGTATGCAATAGGGATTGATTATGTAATTATATCATTTCTATCTACTAACTGTCATATCACTAATGGTCAAAGAGATTCACTGTGTTCTGAAAAACATATCCAGCTTCAAAGTCTGGCATAACAGAATTTTTAACTTGAAAAAAAATACAAATAATAATGATTAGCTGACATTTCAAAACCTGACTCCTTTTCCTACTTTATTTTCATTTAACAGAATGTCTTATATGATATTATAAAAACCATATTTTTTAAACGTTTGCTTTTTAAAATAGAAAATAAAATGTGCTGCAATTTTCATAAGAAAACTTCAAAAATAGAGCTGAAACAATACATTCTTTACACAACATCAGGGTTTAAGAGAACACCATAATCAGTCTGAATAATAATAGAGATTAGAAAAAGTTGTGTTAATTAGGCTCAAACCACAGGTATTTTTTTATTGATTTTGTTTTTAAGTGAAAGTCCCCCACATCTACACTGCTTCAGGTTCACTTAGACACTGTGGGGTGATGACACACCACTCGCCAAGCAGACAGCCCAGCTAGCACAAGGTCACTCACGTTCACTGCCCTCTTCCTCCTTCTCAGCCACTGCAATTCAGACAGGAAGGGCCACTGGTCACCACTGTCCATGGCTGTGTAGAAGAAACATGAAGATCAAAATGTTATGCTTATCTGTATTTCCAGGTGTGTATGTTTTTTAAAAATTACATGAAGAAATAGTGGCATTGGTAATATATGTCATCTCAAAGTTAAGATAAACTAAGGTCAAAAAAAAAGCACATTGATCAGTAAACATTTTACACTTTCATGGTCACAAAGAGAGCTCAAACATGATATTTTCTTCCTAATGTCATAAAAATGTAATGAGCTGCTCCAGGTTCATTGATGTAGATGTCACCTACAAGCACCAGACAATGAAAATTGGAAAGAATTTGACTATGCTTCATGCATTTTAGAATTTAAAATAGTGGTGGCATATGCTTTTGCATAAATTATTAAACACTTTTGTCACTACTATACAGAGCTATTGTTACATACCCCAACATCCAGAGAGGCAGTTGGCAACACCAGCACACTTACGACTCCTGGGCAGAGTACAGGAGGGGTGCACTCCATGTAGATTCAAAGTGCAAACCACCAGAACAGCTGGAACCACACTGGAAAGCATACTACTGCACCCAGCCACTCACTCCCGGCAGCAGGACTCATGTGTCTCTCCATCATCAGAAACGACTCTCCAAGCTTCACTCCGTGAAAACCATGGTTCACCACAGCCCATCCACACCACTCACCCCAGACAGCGGACCAGCTCCCCTTCCAAACATGCTTGCCTGTCACCTGCCTTCCCTGGAGTCACAGTGCCTACTACAGAACACAGCAGCTATTTTCACTAAAACTTACTGAGATTCTTCATTTGCTGAGAATATTGTCCTGCCAAGGTTTTCTGGATTATGTGTGGTCGACTTGTGCTTTTCTGAAACAAAAGCAATTGCAGGCAATGAGAAAGAAAACTGTGAACAAGACTCTATGAAACAGTGTTAGCCCTGCCTCTGTTGTCCATCTTAAATAGGGATATTTATATGCCAGTCTATTAGCCATCGATAATGAAAAGTACTTGTCTTATTGAAATTTTAATTTTAAATAAAATAGATCATCTAATTGTCTCAGTTTAAATAAAAGCATAGTTTTATTAGCTACTCTCAGCTTTCTTCAAAGGCATAAATAGGAAATTCATAAGAAAGAAACACAAAAGGTCAACAAACACATGAGAAAATGTTCAATGCTTTAATATTCCTCTAAAATGCAAATTTTTAAAAAATGAAACTTCAACTTTTGCCATCAAACTGGCAAAGGTTTAAAAATTATGCTATCCATAGTTAATTGCAGTTGCAAAGCCAAAAGCACTCTCACACATTGCTAGTAGGAGGAAATGGGTAGCAATGGGTCAGAGGGAAAGTCAGCAGCATCTATCAACACATTTGGAAATACTCACATCCTTTGCCCCAGAAAGCCCACATTTCAGTATGTCTTACTGCCATTACCATCATTGCTGTTAGCTTCCATGACTGAGGGTACAGCATGTGCCAGGCACAGTGACTATATACATTACCCAAGTTACCTGAACAAAACCCCCACACAGTGCTTAGCACATCCTCGTTTCACAAATAAAGATACTGAGACTCAGAGAGCTGCTTCATTCATTTTAGAATTTAAAATAGCCAATAGTTAAAATAGTTAATAAATTATTTTAAATAATTTATTGTCTTAAAATTATATTACAAAAGAATGATCCAACGTGTTAAAATACATATGGAAATGTATAGTTGAAAAACTAGAAGAATATACACTGGAAGGTGAAGAGAAGTTATCTTTGTGGGGTAATAATGGATAATTAATACTTAGGTAAGTATTTTCCTTTTCCAAACTTCCTATAATGCAATAGTTTTATCATTAGAAAAACAGTTATAAAATAGAAACTTTTTAATAGGTTACATAAAACACCAATAATAACTATGAATTTTGCTATTCATTTATTACTTGAGAGGTTACCTGATTTCTCCTTAGAAATATACCACCAATATTACTTGACTTATTGCAAAGCATACTAGAATTAATAAGAAGAAAAAACTAAACATCAAAAAAATCAAAATTCAATCACAGTAAACTAACAATTCTGTAAAGGTGACAAGAGACCTGGAGTAATGAAATTCACAACAGGATCAGCAGCACAATTTTAAAAACTGACTAATTTATAGTTTCAAGCTTAGTCCCTATCCCTCTATCCTGGGATGAGGACTGGCGACCACTTGGACAGGAGGTGGACAGTAGGAGGAAGGCAGAGAGATGACCACTAGCCTGCAATAATCAGCCTGGACAGTACAACCTTACGGAAACAATGCAAAACCTGCCTTAAACATTAGGACAGTAATGGTGTATATTTATAAATCTTTTCAACAATTTAATAGACATTGTCACCCACAGTTACTCATTCATCAACTATGCAAAACTGTCCTATTAAGGATATATTTTTTAAAATTGTCTCATTTTATACATTTAAGAAAACTCCAAGGCTTAGAGAGTTATTATTTTGGGTTCTCAGTCTTGTTCTTTGAGATTTTTTTTTTTTTTTAAGAGTAATAGGGCCATTAATCACAGTCAGATTTTTTGGCTAAATGAGTCCAATAATCTTGCTGAACACAGGTTAGCTACCTACCACCACAGTAAGGAAAAAGACATTTTACTTAAAATGTCTTCATAATCTAGTAATTGTCTTCATTATCTAGTAATTTCTATAGTTACTAATTGAAAGTGATACAGGTTTATTCAAACATCAACCATTTAAAATTTAACAACCTTTCAGTCTCAAATCTGAAATTTATCCCATACACACATTGCCGCAACCAAGGGAAACCTAACCCTAACCAAGGGAAGAAAAGTTTGCTCAACAGTTACTATCCGCAGCCTAGTTGACTACTGCCTGTTTCAAAATTCATTTTATCCAAATTTGAAGCCTCTAAAGACGAAACGTGTTTTCTGCTCCCCATGTATGACAATGATAATCTGACTTGACTGCTCTCAGAAGAGTGTCTTCCCACTCTCACTCTCTCCATGGATCTGCCACCCCAGCTGTAGCTAGCCCCAGTCCTTGTCTTTACCATTCTTGCCCTCCGCCGGGCTCGGTGGCTCAGCCTGTACTCCCGCGCCTTTGGGAGGCTGAGATGAGTGGATTGCTTGAGCCCGCGGTTTCAAGACCCGCCTGGGCAGCGAGACCTCATCTCTACAATAAATCAAAAAATCAGCCGGGCGTGATAGCACGTGCCTGTAGTTCCAGCTACTTGGAAGGCTGAGGCAGAAGGATCACCGGAGCCCAGCAGGTCGAGGCTGCGGTGGCCGGGAGCGGCCACTGCACTCCAGTCTGGGTGACAGAGTGAGACTCCAACTCAAAAAAAAAAAAAAAAAAAACCATTCTTGCCCTCACTCACTCCTTTCCAGCCTGGTCACTTCCCCAAACTGCCCAGAGCACTCCAGGCACACGCCTGCCCTGTCTCCTAGAGTGCTCTTCCAGCACTTTTATTTCCTGAAGTTCCTTATTCACACAATGAATCACCTGCTCCTTGTGGCCTTCCCTGGACGCTGTATCTAAAAGCTCAACTCTCCTTTCTGGCTCCTGCTTTCCTTTTTTCTCCTTAGCATTTATTGCTCCCTAATGCACCTTAAATAATTACTCACTCATTCCGTGTCTTCCTATCTACCCCTAAGGACTAGAAGCTCCACTAGTCTCATATGTCTATATTGTCACTAAAGTTTCCCTAGCACCTAAAATAACACCCGGCCTGCAGTAAGCCCTCTGTATATCTGATGAACATACAGGGGGGGTGCCAAAAAATGTATACACACTTTAAGCGATGTTATCTATGTATTACTTTTCAAAGTTGAATTAAATTACAGTAGCAATGTGTAGTATGATGTTCACTCAACCATGCTTCCACCATTTTCTCTGCCTGTCTTGCCTGTCATGTGATGACATTAGCATTCATTTAATTAATGCCATCTTTTGAGTGAACACCATACTTAAAATGTGTATATATATATTTTGGTACTTTCTGAATATCGAATTTTCAATTTGGTTGTATTCTAGTAGCAAGCAACACTGCTAGAGTATATAATTTCTTAACTACTTCACTGGCTTGTGCATGACTCTAAACATTATTTTCCTCCCTATTGCTAAAGAAAACTAAACATTCTATCATGTAACGCACTTCAGCCTACAAATTTCCCCACTGAAGTCTCTTAGGCTTATAAAAGTTAAGGACATGCTTACAGTCACATAATTATCTTGAGACAATGGTGAGACTGAAAGCTCGTGGAAAGGACAGAGACTGGTGAGTACAAACCAAAAGTCCCCTCTGCTCTCAGAGATGGGGTATGACTGGTCCTTGCTTCAGAAACCAGGTCGGATGCCTCTTACCATCACATACTGGTGTGTGGGCCCTATACACGCAACTTAAGATTCAAAATTCATGGTACCACCCTACATTTTAAATCAGGTAACATCCAGGAGGCTGAGGCAAGAGGATAGCTTGAGCCCAGGAGTTCGAGGCTAACATGCGCTATGGCTATGATCACACCTGTGAATGGCCACTGAACTCCAGTCTGGGCAACATAGAGAAACTCTGTCTCTAAAACATAATAATCATAAAATAAAATAAAGATATAGGTAATATGTATAAAACTTTGAAAGCTGTCTTTTCTTTTTTTCTTGCTCAAACACAAAGGCCCGAGAAGAGAAGAACAGTTGCAGAAGATGGGCATTGCAGCTCACCTCATCATGAAGCAGTTCCAGTGGTTCTATCGTGTACACATAGGTGTTATCTTCAAACATGCCACTAGGGTGAAAGAAACCACATGAGGAGAGACTTAAACACAGCAATGGCAAAATACAGCAAGTGAGCTTTGTTATTGTCTTTAAAACAAAGAGTGTATCTAAATGAATCCCTTGATGCTGTTCCAAATCAAATTCACACATCTGTATAGTACCCACCATGGCCCCGTTCCTCTAACAGACAGCACGAGGGTTGCAAAAACAACAGAGGTGTACACCAAGAGCATACATGTTTTGCCTGATGTAATTAATTCTTGAAATTAAACAGACAGATTAGAAGATTAATCTGGGATAGTACTATTCACACAGTGGGAGAATCTCAAGTTACTATTCCAGAATCATGTACAACTAGTACAAATTTCTAGTTATGCATATTCAATATGTCTATAAGAAAACATATGCCTGATGTCTATTCTTCATATAGAAGAATAATCTAAAACCATCCAATTCTGTCTGTTTGTAAACTGTGAATTTCCATTAGGCAATGTGACTGTGTCATACAAATCACATATAGTTTTGAGAGGCACAGGATTTTTTATAAAAGGGTAAAAAGACTTTCCAGTTATTTTGTCATCATGTGGCCAAAACTGGATCTCAACATGAGGTACGGCTATGCACGAGTCTAAAGGTACCTCCACACGGCTCTGTCAGAGCCGGCTGTTGGTCAGGCACGAGCTCCCCATCTCCCCACCTGACCTGGCTAGCTCCTCCTCATCCACAGGTCTACCTGGAGTCTAACTGACACGACCTCTGGAGTGTACTTCTGGGAACCATTCCTGGATGAGGACTATCCACTGCATACGCTCCTGTCCTTCCCCTCTGCGGAGCGTGCCAAAATGGTGATTAAACTTTAATCTATGTCATTATTTGTTTATCTCTGAATCTCCTGCAAATGCCAGGTTTTAAGAAGACAGAGCCTCTTGTGCACCACTCCACACCCAGCCCCTAACAAGGGACTGGCACTGCAAGCCACTAAGATAAACATCCGGAAGGAGCCTGGGGGGTAGATCCAATGAAACCCTACATACTGAAGTCCATTGCAGGTCGACAGGGCCACCCTGGAGTCCTGGACATTGCGGATGCTCCCATGGTAGTAGCAGTGCTCTCCACCCTGAAACGCAGAAGGGTCCTTTGATTAGTTACACACCAGACATCATGACTCACTCTGGATGCTTCCATCAAGCAAAAGGAAACACAAGGACAGGAACGTGTGTTACCATGCCCACAACCCCAGGGATGCCTCCCTATGACATCACCAACAGGATTAGGCTGTCTTTCAACTTCTCTATAACCAGCATTTGCCTAGTATATTTAACAAAGGAGAAAGGGCCATAAAAAGGAAGACACCAATGGAGCTGCTGCCACATAGATCTGTTTCCTAAGGACATCTGCAGGAGCAGACACTTCCCAGGTGCTGTCATGGGCTGAGGGTGCCCACTGACCACGTAGAGACTCTAAGCTATCCAAAAGCTCATTAACTTTCCTGCCATTTAAAATTAGTTTTTAAAGAGTTCTCAGAAACAACCTAAGAACTTAGTTTGCAAAGTTATTAAATACTACACAAACTACAAGTTTTATTCAACAAAAAATCAGAAATTCCAGCAGTTTCCTTTCTTCCTCCCTCCCCATCTCTGAGGCAACCACTTTTACCTCTTTAAGATGTTTCTTCTGGGATTGACCTATGCATTTGGGAAATGGAACACTTATTCTGCTATGTCCTGATTGATTCCATTTTAAAAATTATCTTCCTAATATAGAATCTTGGAGCCCCTCTTACCCCTCAGTACATTCCAGGACACATCACCAATCTCTAGCTGCACTGACATACTGTTCTCAGCTGGGCCACCATTTT